TTAATAGGAATGACATCAATTTAAACCATTTACGAATTATATCTTGTTTGGTGAACGAAAATACCGCAGATCTTTTCTAAAGCTAGAAATTATTTATGTTCATGTGAAAAAACTTGAAAAAAGTATATTTCATTTTATAATATATGTAAGAAAGATATTCTGAGTTAAGCACTTATGAAACCGCAAAAGGTTTTATTTTTTTCAACGTTGTAGAGAGAGCGTAAACGTTTTTGTTTCTTTTGGACTTTGTTAAGTGGATTTGAAATATTTAAATAATGTTAAGATTTCTTTTAGTTATTGCTTTGTTGCCTCAAAAGTCAACGTCTTACCGTCGATGTTTTCCATTTCGTTTACATTGTTTTTATATTATAAAGTTAAAATTACTTCTAAATATTTTAGTCTTTCTTGATAAATTGTATGTAGTGTAATTCTATTTCGGGACAACGAAACTTCATTGATAGAATATTGTAAAAATATATTAAGTGATCGGTTTGAAGAGAAGCAAAAATAAAATTATGTATATAAAAATACTTACATTTAGAGCCAAATTTTGAATTAAATGTGATTGTACCTAGTTCTAAATATATTATTCACAAGAGTAAAAAACAAAATGGTAATTCCAAGTATACCTATAAATATTACTAATTAACAACTAATTAATATGAATAAGAGAATTTTCGTATATTTTATCTTGTGGGAACCTCTTATTTCAGGTTTAAGAGTTTTAAGCACTTCTGTATATTGTATTAATAATAATAAATATAAGTCTATTGTCTTTTTTTAATTTATTTAATGAAATTTTATTATTAACTAGCATTGCCCGCGGTTCCGTCCTCGTTCAGATGATCAAAAGCCAAATTCTTAGGTTTTACATTTTAGTATACTCTTACAATGCAGTTTTTGTATTTTTTCTCAGAAATAAGATATTTTCCCGCGGTAAAAAGTATCCTATATGTTGACCCTGATAACCAGCTATCACCTAATCAAATTTCATCAAAATCCCTCCAGTGGGTTTTCTGTGATACGGTAACAGACAGACAGACAGACAGACAGACAGACAGACACAAAAATTCTAAAAACCACAGATTCAGCCCCTGTACGATAATAATCTTTATTTCAATAAGATTTTCTAAAACATATCTAATGTACAGATTCGGCTTAGTTACAATTTTATTATACGAGTATGCATAGATTTTAAAAGATGCTACATCACTCGTTAATATTGTCTAAAGCTCATTAACGTTTTGAAACTGGGAACTGTCAGACATTATTGCTGAAGCTACTAATTATTGGGAACGCAATTTCTTCAACTTTGCTGGTTTCTAATATAACTTTAATCCTTAATACAACTTTAAGTGTGGCGCAAAAACGAATAACTTCAATACATACGTATATGTCTATCTATTGCAATAGAAATTACTTATCACGTAATAACCTGGACTTATTTTTTTCTAGTTACAACCTTCCATGCAGGAACATATATATAACTGTATATTTATTTTTTATATGAACAGCTATAAAAAAAAATTATTTAATAATTATGTACATATTACAGTTTATTCAAATAATACATAGTCAATCTTATATTATATTATTTATTTTATTCTAAATAAAAATGTAAATAAATAAACAAGCTAATTTTATTTACAAACATGCAAGGTTTATAAATTTTGTTATGAATATTTATTATTATTTATTTATAAATTATTTTCATTTTTTTATATAACAATATTCATAACATAAATGTACTTACCTGCTGTATATTTTAATAACATTTTATATGTTTCAGAAAAATCCTTTTAATTGTTTAGTTATATTTAAAATTCAAATAAGATCTGGATTATGAAAGAATAATTTATCATTCATTCACCTGAGCTTAGATGGCTAAAAAAGATAATACTCGATTCTCGATTCGATTCGATCGATCTACAATTCTAAAAAAACATTCACCGGATCATTTTTAACAACTCACAATGTCACCGAATAAAATATAGTAAAAACCATACAATCTCAATTGAGTTTTTATTCAAATGCTGCCAAGTTCTTTTAAATTTGGTAAATATTGAACGGAATGAAATACATAAGTTATTTGAATTTTAAACGGTTTCCCAAACACTTTAGTTTTTTCAATGTTTAAAAAGCTTCTATTTCAAATTGAAACAAAAAATTAAAGAACATTTTTTGGGCTAAAGGTTATTGTACAATAGTAATTTAACAAAAGACTGCCATCTATTTCACTGGATCCTGGGTTTGTACGTTGTTTCTCAATCAGTTAGTAATATTTTTTCTAATTACAAGTTTATATTCTTCTAGCTACTCACCCTCGCTTCGCTCGTGTTCGTCCCTGGGTTGATTCCCCATACAAATTTTCATGCCCATTTTCACCCCCTTAAAGGAATCATCCTGATTTCCGAAATAAAAAAAAACCTATGTCCTTCCCAGGATGTCGAAGTATCTTCTTATCTTTCATCGAAATCGGTACCGTAGTTTTTGAGTTTATTCGTTACAAACATACAAAAATACAAATCTTTCCTCTTTATAATATTTCCTCTTCATTAATATTAGTGTAGATGACATATGACTATATTCATATTAGATAACGAAGATTTAAACGCAATAATCACACTAAAATTATAACTATTGCGAAACTTTTGAAAGAGAGTAGTGCTAAAAGATTTAGATTAAATTCAGAATACCGGCAATTTGGAATTTATGTAGTAGGTATAATATTACAAGCGTACCTTTTATGCGAATGGATCCGAAAGTAATACCTAGTCTATTATTATATAAAATAACTTATTTCAAACAAAAACTTTACAAATAACTAAACTCGTAAACTCCCAATGTTACGCTCAAACCGCAATAGAATAACAAAGCAACGCGTTTTAAACTTAGCGATGATAAATTTATAGACGCACAATTTTTAACACACCTCCTCTTTTGTGACTCACTAAGGGTTTGTAATAATGTTTTTATTACTAAAGTATTTTAGAACACTTTAAATATACATTTAAGTTCTATTTAATTTTATAATTCCGAGAAATGATTCACTTTGAGTTATCTAAAACTATAAGTTTTCGTTTGCAAGAAAAATTACAAGTTACATTTGATGAAACATACGATATAAACATAACATGTATTCTTTTTTTCTTACTACAATATTAAGAAAAAATAATTCATACTAAAATTATAATTGTAAAAGTTTGTAAGGATGGATGGATGTTTGTTACTCTTTCACGCCAGAACTGCTGAATAGATCTCGATCACAGAGATAGACAGGTTATATACCACATAAGTTACTTTTTATTCCGGAAAAATGTACGGTTCCCGTGGGATAGATTTGTTTTTATCTAGGGACAAACCCGAGCGATGCGAGGGTGAGTCGCTAGTATTTTATAATAAGAAGAAAGAAATTGTTTAAGTTATTTTTTTATGAAACGTGTGTAATGATGTAGTTTGTTAAATTATACGACACAAAAAGGTACTCAGCAGAAACATGGCGCAAGAGGCGAGGTGCGAATTCATTTGCATAGTGCATGAGACCTGCATTGTCTAAAAGCAATTCTCGAGCATGAATTATAACACGCCTTTGTGTGATTTGTTTACTAAATGGTAGACGGCCACTAGACTGTTGACAAATAAATTATACACTGTTGCTCCAATTTAACAATAACCGTGATATTGATCTTTACTAATATATACAATATGTATACCTAAGAATAATAATCGGTGCCTACATAGTACCTATATTAAATAATCTTTCTGATAAATGGAACTACAATTTGATTTTCGTACGGTAATATTTCTCCATAGTTTAGCTGTTTATCCTAGTCTGATTAGAACTTTCTAGTTTTATCTAAAAAAAAACAAATAGAAATAAGAAAGCGCTATATTATTGTTACAGTGAGCTTTTCTGGATTGGCTGGACTTTATGTCCGTTAAAACTTTAGCTTTCCTTTTCACCTGTTTATAATATATTTTATTAAAATAGTCATTACTTTATTGATCGCTTATGTAAATATAGGAACAGTCTAGTAAAATTTAAAACCTCCAGGTCCAGCATTTTGCCTTTATTCCTGCTTATTTCCTAACTTTTCTCAAATCTTTTTATCTTATTTTATTTAAAATACTAATAAACTTTTAGAAGATATCCTTCTAACATTTTGATATTGAAAACCACATCAAAGCTTTATTGAATACGATTTATGTATGCTTGTATAATTAATATTTAAAATTAAAATATTATTAGATAATGAAGCCGCAAGGAAAGCTCTCTCGTGAGTGAAAAATCATCAAAGTTCGGAGCATATTTTATTTTTAATTAACATTTAATTAAAAATAAAATATTAATTTAATCTGACACTCAATCAAACGAACGTTACGAAATTTAATTAACTTACATTTTACATTTATAATGAAAATATAATTTATAAGATACACCGAACTAATGACTTTAAGCATTTATTTATTTTAAGATACTATCAACGCTAAAAAAATTACTATTGAAAACTTACCATAATTATCATTTACATATTGATGACTTTGCCTCTACTCCGGGCACTTAGTTTACGTATGTGTATACAATTGCTCTACACTTAGCCCTTTTACCTTTATCAATAAATAGTATCAGTACGTTGAAATAAACAAAAATACATAAAAATAACTTCTTTGTTAAAACCTCTTTCATAGTTAAAAAAAATATAAATGCACATTTATACGAATGAAATCAAAATACCTATACTTTTTTTCTAATTTTCAAAATTTCAATTAAGTAAACGTCAATATGTAAGTCCGTTAGGAATCTACCACCGGCTCGAAAGGCAGTTCGGCTAAAAAGAGCCGGCGAGAAAGTCGACACTTGCTCTTTTAAAATAATACTTGCTTACAATATTTCAGTACAATAATTATCTACTTATCCTATGTGAGACACAACCAGACATCTCTTATTAAGTAAGTTATTGCTTTTTTCCAGATAATTGAAATAATGCACGCGTTTTAAGATGGACCCTCTTACGTGGTTATCCTTGGGGCTGCAGCTGGCGGCATTATGTTCGATAGTGGGCGCGTTATTACTGTACCTTCTGCGTAAGGTCAGAGTCGCTGAAGTATCGCCTGTTGATAGTGCGAAGACTGTTCTTGTGACTTCCGTTGACTCCGCTCTTGGACTACAGGTATGTACGTTTTCAATATAAATATATAAATATATAATATTCATGATGTATGATTTAGCTTATATTATATGTTTAATAAAATAAAAACATAATACGATACAGTAAAATTAAGTTAAGTAAACAAAACAGTATTTAAATAATGTACCTTTATACGAGACTAGCGACTCACCCTCGCTTCGCTCGGGTTCATCCCTGACTTGATTCCCCATACAAACTTTCATCTCCATTTCCACCGCCTTAAGGGATGATTTCCGGTATAAAAAGTATCCTATGTCCTTCCCAGGGTCTCAAACTATCTTCTTACCAAATTTCATCTAAATGGGTTAAGTAGATCCAGAGATTAACCCCTACAACGTCACAAAATCACAAACTTTACCTCTTTATAATATTAGTATAGATAAGGATGAATTCTATTATGATACATTTTTACCTAGGAGAAAAAACTGTTCACAAAAAAAAATATTATTAAAAAAATTACAAAATATTTTTATTTCAAAAAATATCATTGCAATTTTATCTGGACATTCTAATATATCATCCCGATGAATAATAATTGGTTATTAAAATTATATATCGATTAAGCAAACAACGATTTATTGCCACATAACAAAGCCACCAGGGATTAAGCAGGATTAGATTTATTGGGAACACCTCGGCAGCGGGCAGTGTATAAATCATTTTACCAGTGGCAGTATGTTATTATCGCAGGACGGTGGAACTATGCGAACTCGCATGCGATATCTGTTTATTTAGTTTAGCCATTTAGCATTTTGATATCATTGTCATTGTTCATAGGTAGTTTGCATTTATATCACTGACTAGTATTATTTAGCCGTCTGACCTTATTATATTTTTATCCTGGGCTTGTAAGCTTTTAAACGAAATTTTAAGCATAAAGCTCAAGTATAAGTCCGTTGATTGCGTAAATACTATGATTTTTACAAACAATCGTTTTCCTGTCTATTTCATTTATCCCCGTCGTTGCGTTAGTCGACTTCACAAGCCTTTCAATATAAGTAAGGTTCTCTCAGAAATGCAGATTTCCTCACGATGTTACCCCATCGCTTAAAAACATAGTTTGATTGCTAGTTTAAGTTTAGTTTACAAATAATCTTAAGATAAAATTACGCATTTTGGAATATAAAAATCAGTTAAGCATGCTCTTATTTGATATCTTATTTAATGATATAAATAAAAGTTTTTTAGAATAAAAATTGCAAGCAAAAAAAATAAAATGTTTAAATTTGAAATATTAATGAAGTGTTTGTTCACTTCAACATAATGTAATTAAAACGTATCGTTAAATATTAAGTCGCTAATTTCACAGTCAATAAAGTACCTATATGGTTACTTAAATTTATTAATTCTTAAATGTAAAACTATTTGAAGCAAAACGTAAAACTTACCTTTTTATGACGTAAAATAATATATTGGTTGGTTTGTCCTTCTTTCATTTAAGAGCAACAATTTTAACGTCATTTATATAGCATACAACGGCTCACCCTCGCTTCGCTCTGGTTCATCTCTAGGAAAAAAAACTATCCCCAGGGGACCGTACATTTTTGCGGGGTAAAAAGTAGTCTATGTGTTACTCGTATTAATAGTACATCTCAAAAGAGGCTTACTGGTGAATTTTGAGATTTTTTGATCACTGGCTCAAAACCGCTCTTTTTTTAAAGAGAGCTTTTTTTTTAAAAATCGATATTTTTGAGCCAGCGATCAAAAAAATCGAAAAACTATCAGATTTTATAAATCAGAGATTGCCACATCTCATATATATAATACTTTTGTACAAAAACACTTTAGTGAAGTAAAAGTGTGTCGCTACAATATTTATATGGTTTGTTTATAGCCACATAGATTGAAAAAAAAAACTACTTTTATATCTTTAAATTCGTATCACAGATAGCAACCTACTTAAGCGGTAAGGGATGGCGAGTGATCGCTGGTTGTCGACAAGGAGGTCTGGGGGCGCGTCTGGCTGAGTCCTGGCTGCAAGCCCACGTGGCTGACACTCCGGAGGACCAGCCCCCACCGAGACTAGCTACTTTGGAACTGGATGTGGCGAGAGAAGATTTATTAGAAGAAGCGGCGAGAACGACAGCTCAGCATTTACCGGCTGGAGAACATGGTTAGTGGTGTTTTTACAAAAAAAATCGAATTATAGATAACGGTTTCTAATTCTTACTTCTATTTATCTATTTCCAAACCCACCCAAAACATTTACATAGTTAATAGATACTATACGAGTATATAATATAACCTTTTTCTCTAGCATAGTAAACTATGTCAGCTAAGCAAGAGCAACGACCAAAAATTTTATTGGTAAATTTTATTTTCCAATCGTTATGATTATGATTCTAACCCAACTAAAAAAACTGTAATAACAATATTTTAAAGAACTTATAACTTATTTATTTAACATTCCAATGTGTTCATTAAGTTATATTATGAAACAAGCATATAATAAGTAACAAAAAAGCTGCACTGCCCGGGAATCGAACCCGGGTCGCAAGAATGGGAATCTTGCATGATACCACTACACCAGCAGTGCTTATACGGCTAGAGCTCAAATTTCGTTCCTATAGTAAGATTAGAAACAATGACAATCAAATTTTAATAAATATTCATGTTTATAACTAAATTCTTTGTAACTTATATCACGAATTACAAACATTTTCATATATCCATCATATCACTTACATAGACAGTAGTGCCATCTACCGACGGTATTAGAAGTTATATAATGCGCAGTGAGTTCGGGCAGGAGTGATGTTAGCAATAATTTGGCTTTAAACAAGTTGCGTAGTTATTCATAACACTCATAGATGACTCTTTCTGTATTCTATATTATTTAGTACAAAAATAGTAAATTTTATATTTTACAGTGAGATTATTAGACCAGGGTAGAAGCCTTTAAAAATAATAAAAAGTGAAAAAAATAATAGTAGGATGCAACCCATTAGAAAAGGAGGGGATTATTATAAAAATGAAAGGAAAAATAATTTACGGGCGATCTGAGGTCGGGAAGGGGATGGATACACTTTTTTCACATAACCTCAAAATTTATGTGAAAAAAAACCAAGTATTTGGTTTTTTATTTTTATCTTTTACAAAAAAAAAATATTTTTTAACGAAATTTGGTGAAAACATACCTTTTTATGTCCCAAATACGCTGTAATTTATTTGATTAAAAATATTTATTTTTTCACCTTATTTTGAATTAATATCGAAAAAGCACCCTCATTTTCAATCGAAAATTCACCCGTCAAAATATCAGCTTTTTTCAAAAAGTTGGTATGTTTTCTGTTCGTTGAAATCTCTACTTTCCAATGGTAAAAAAAAATTATATGTTACTATAGTAAATCTTCTGAGAAAATGCAAAAAAACAATAAACCTTTTTTATTTCATACACTTGCTTATCATCTGCCTTATTGCAGATGATACAAACAGATTCATGCATACTGATAATCTGAAAAGACAAAATCGAATTAATAATGCCTTCACTATTTTATCGTGAGTATACCCCCATGAAAAAAAATATTAAAGAAATAAATGTCAAAATGTATAAAAAATATATTATAAATATATTAAAAATCTATAATAAAATATATGAAATATACATGAAAATCGGCCAAAAGTTAGTTATTAAAAATATATTTACTATACATATTTTTTATATATTTATACATTTATTATAGATTTTTAATATATTTATAACATATTTTTTATACATTTTGACATTTATTTCTTTAATTTTTTTTTCATGGGGGTATTCTCAAGATAAAATAGTGAAGGCATTATTAATTCGATTTTGTCTTTTCAGATTATCAGTATGGATGAACCTGTTTGTATCATCTGCAATAAGGCAGATGATAAGCAAGTGTATGAAATAAAAAAGGTTTTTGGTTTTTGCATTTTCTCAGAAGATTTACTATAGTAACATATAATTTTTTTTTTCACCATCAGAAAGTAGAGATTTCAACGAACAGAAAACATACCAACTTTTTGAAAAAAGCTGATATTTTGACGGGTGAATTTTCGATTGAAAATGAGGGTGCTTTTTCAATATTAATTCAAAATAAGGTGAAAAAATAAATATTTTTAATCAAATAAATTACAGCGTATTTGGGACATAAAAAGGTATGTTTTCACCAAATTTCGTTAAAAAATATTTTTTTTGTAAAAGATAAAAATAAAAAACCAAAAACTTGGTTTTTTTTCACATAAATTTTGAGGTTATGTGAAAAAAGTGTAAATACAAAAGTTTTAGATCTTTTTATTACCTACAACTTTGCCATTTTACTTTTTTCGATAGGACTTTTAGTTTTGCCGGAAATCGAGAAAAACCGTTTTTTACCCTTAAAAACGGACCCCCATCCCCTTCCCGACCTCAGATCGCCCGTAAATTATTTTTCCGGTCTATATAATAACTATACCTACTTAATTTAAATAAAACTTAAAAATTTGTAGGTACTTATTACATTTTTTTATATTTTTATTCTATGAAAATTACGTTTACCTTAATAATAAGAATTAATATTACCAATTTTTTTTCTTGTATTGATGAAATAATGAAATAATGAAAATATCTACCATATATGTCCGTACCTATACGTCAAATATTTTTTACTACAAAATATCCTACTGCTAATATAAATGCGATAGTTTTATGTATATGTACGTATGTATGTTTGTTAATTTTTCATGCTAAAACAACTGCATTAAATTTAGTACCCACATAAGTCTATAACCTAGAGTAACATATAGGCTACTATTAAGCACTTGCGAGGGAAGCTAGCGTAAATTGCTAGTAAGTACATAATATAATGAGATACTTTTGTATTAACAGGTGTGTGGGCAGTAATAAACACGGCGGGCAGCAGTGGGCGTGGCGGGGCAGCGTGCTGGGAGAGCGCTCTGCGCAGCAACGTGCTTGGCGCCTTGCGTGTAGCGCGTTCGTTCTCTCCCTTGCTGGCTGCGGCTGCGTCTGATCATCCTTATGCTGGACGACTGTTTTATATCGGTAATTAATTTTAAAATGTACTTATTAGGTATGGTTAAGTTCGACCACAAAGAAAACCATATTATTGAATTGATTCAGCTTTGACTGAAATGTTAATGAACCTTCTACCTAAACAGCTAATTCTCAGAACCATTAGTAAATTGTGTGATGAAGCATAAAAACATTAACCTCTCTGTAAAAAATAGCACCCTAAATGAACTGAATACACATGCTTTATTACAGGATTGACATCAGACACCGCATGCGAAAGCTTATCCCGGGTAGACAGTGACTTGAATGAAGGCAGTGCAGGCGCGGCAGCAGTGAGATGGGGGACCTGGGGTGCTGCTAGAGCGTTAAGAACGTCCCTCCGCGCGCGTAGGCTTCACGTTGTACTGTTGCATGCTCCTGATTTGTCTGCTGCCGAGATATTTGCACCGCCTGTGCAGCTTACACCGATTAGCCAACCTGGAAGGTTTTAGTTTTTTTTTTATATTTCTTATGTTTACTTAAAGTGTTGGAAAAAAGCACATAGATAGCTGTACCTATCGTATCGTATTCGTATTTAATGCTTTTTTAACGTCCCATTGCTAGGAATGGGACTCCTCTTAATACAATGGGGATCAGGTCATTGTCTGCACTCCACTGCTGACCAAATCAGGGGTGGGACTTAATATGTTTTTGAAAATTTGCTAGTTTCTCTCAGACATGCAGGTTTCGATGTATTTGTTTACTTTAAAACATGTGGTAATCATGTCGAAAATTATTCGCACATGAACATATCAGAGGTGCGAGACCAACGCTTTTATGTCTAATGTCTATATATTAAACCATGTAAACTATGTAAAAAAATGTGCGCTGATAAATAAATGTAGGATTTTTCGGTTCTCTTAAATATATAATGGATACTACATTAAACACTTATAATTTTCAACAGTCGACCAGAAACCCCAAGTTCAGAGGTGAGCTCGTCCACAGCAACTTGCGCCGTCACCATGCCCGGAGAAGCCGCAGAATACAGCGCTAAGGTTCTTCCGACAAGCGCCTTAAAAGTCTTAGAGGAAGCCCTCACATCACCATCACCGAGAGATTCTTACTACTTGAAAATAAAACAGGACTCTTGGTTTACTAGAATGCCTTCTTTAAGAGTTGCGCATTAAAATCTCCTGTATAATCGGAGACAACAAAATTTCGAAAACAAAGCTAAATTTTCAAGTCATTCTTACACGTAGTCTTGTAAATAAATACGTTAATTCTAGTTTTATTTCATTGGTTCTTTTCACTTGATTAATCACTTATTAGTAAGTACCTATACTATAATTATAATATTTAATTATGTCGATAAAACAAATGCTTTAATTGTAACTGCCACATCGATATTTTATTTATACTCCAAAGAATTTTATTATTATATATTAATTAAATAAACCACAAATAAACGCAAATTCTATTTAGATTTTTCACTTTCAAATATAATTTCTTAATATTTTTAGTATACGACCTACTTATCCCTTAATCGATGGCATGGGATAGTAGATGTATTGTGCCAAGTAATTGTACTGAAGTTTTAATAATAATTAATTAGTACTTCTACATCTTTGCTATATGTTGATCATCATACGAAAGTCATTTACAAGCTTTATATTTTAGAAAAAGACTTCAATCTGCCGCATTTAAGAATGCGACTAAGAAGTTAAATCGGTTTTACAGAACATTATTTCTCGTAAGACAAAAATTGTATGCCAAGCTTTCCGTCAAAAGCGTCATACTAAGTGATTTTATTAGGGATCGAATTTAAAAAATGTATAGACAGGATCAAAGAAAACAAGGGTTTCGCGATATCCCTGAATTTATAATTAATTTATGAAGATATATTTACATTGTTGAAATTATGCGAATAAATTCGGATATTTGCAAAATCATAAGAAATATTTGCTTCTTAAAGTAATACAGGCACCTGCGATCCACCAAATTCGACCCTTATCGCATTCTACTGGCATAACCATAGTAATGACCACTTGATAACACAGTGCCAAGTCTCTACGTTTAGTGATGGAAGTTACATTTGTTAGTCCAGTGAAGCCATTGTAAGACTAGGTTTCTACCTTATCGTAGATAGACTTGTTTTAATTGAGAACGTAACGAAATAAATGCTTAACGTATACACTGTAAATAATGTTTGTGTTATATTAAAAAATATATTATAACAATATTGTTTTATTTGAATCTAACAAAATAGAAAATTAAATTAACGCATACTATACCTTTAAATTAGCTTACTTGATAGAAATAACCGTACCTATATGCACAATTCTAATATTTGAGCTTATTATATTATGCAATATGCAACAAGGCCGATTGAAATCCCTTCAAATTTTCTCGAGAGAGAGTGCAAAAAAATAATAGAATATAGCTTCTACTATGTACATACATCGTCTATGTACAAATAACGTCACTAAATCAGAATAAATATATTTTTCCGAAAAAAAAGACAACTATTTTACCTCTTTAAACATCTTTTACCTCGTTAAAATTATATAGGTAGGTACTCTTAATTATTACACTGAAATACAATTTAATAAAACAACAATTTGTAGCCATAAAAGTAGTAATCTATTCAACATTTCGGTTCTTTAATTTTTAAATTATCAAAAGCAAGCCATATCTTGTAATTTTCGACACAGACCATATCCCCGCCGACTCTAGTAACATCTTTATCTAAGTTGCTAATACAAGTCCAATATTCTCGAGGAACATGGCTGCCTTTTTTCGAGCGACTTGCGGTACTCACAGCAAAATGCACTCTATCTGTGTTATTGTTTATGTAAAAAACCGTTTCAGGAAATTTAAACGATATACTGTCGATGCTTCGTATACTATTAAAAGAAAAATTGAATGACATAAACTAACAAAATTGATGTAATATAATAAAAAAAAATAAAATTCAAATTTTGAACCAAGATTAACAATAAATAAAATTAGTTGAAAATAAATTACAAAACAATACCTATATTTTTTGCCGCAAACAGGAGAAAAATTGCTATGCGAATGCCCATACACATCTAACACAGCATTTTTAGAACTTGCAAATATTTTGTATAAGGTTTTTTTGTTTCCGGGTGGCTTCATAAGGACTTCAACATGCAGTGTGTCATCAGGGGTTTCAAGTTCGATAACTTTTAATGATTTACTAAAAAATACAGATATTAGTTCTCTTAAAATTAAATTTTCGTCGTAAAGAGCAAAGAAATAAAATTCCTTTCATTAATGTCCTCCTTTTCATTGAACATATTTAGTAAAAGTAAGTAATAATACCCAGACAAAGATTACTGTCAATTGCCTTACCTTATTAAAGTGACTTTAGATAAATTCCATTCTGGAAGCAAATCTCGCAGACGTCTCGGTACTTTCAAATAAATAAACTTAGGCTGAATCTCTTTAAGGTTCAGAATAATTGTAGTCATGGCCGCCAAATCAAATGATAAACACATTAACAAATGGCCTTTAGCACTTTCCTCATTGGAAAATATTGGGCGATCTCCTTAGGTAAATAAAAGGATATTTTTTTAAAATATCACAAAGAAAAAATGTAACAGAATTTAGAAAAACCCAAAATAGCAAGACTCGAAAACAAAAAAGTATGTGTAAATAAATTAAATTTCACATTTTTTAATACATCAGATTTCTTCCTCAAACGGCGTACGGTTTGTCATCTCACCTAGTAGTCTATGATCTCACCAACTACCAATAAACATTACCTACCTACCTAAACACTACTAGTAGGCCTACTGCCTAGTACCAAGTGCCTGGTACCAGTTTTTGCTTATTTGAATTGTAAGTTCTTACTTTCAATATTAACCAAGCCCGGAACTGTGTGGTATATCCATACACCACCCATTTCATCAGCCATTATTACCCCATTAGTTATAGTCCCAGCAAAGTCTCTCGACGCCTCGCGTTTCTCATATACAGCAACTGCTATATAATCAGTATACGTTGGCTGTAATATATAATAATTTAAATAGTAATACAGTAATCCGAGACCCGATCTTTATATAAATAATCTAAGAAAGTCTCGCCAAATTAGTAGGTACATACAAGGTACATTGTATTTATTTCTAGCGACTCACCCTCGCTTCGCTCGGGTTCGTCCCTAGCTTGATTCCCCATTCAATCTTTCATTCCCATTTTCACCCCCTTAGGGGATGTTTCCGGGATAAATAGTACCCTTTGTCCTTCCCAGGGTTTCAAACTATCTTCTCACCAAATTTCATCTAAGCCGGTTCAGTAGATCCACTATCCAGAGTTTACCCCCTACAACGTCACAAACTCACAAACTTTACCTCTTTATAATATTAGTATAGATTTCATACAATAGCCGTCTAACAAAGGGGTCTAAACAGGGCAATAGTGCGAGGCGTACGGGTGTAGACAGATGTGGCGCTTCCGACGGTCATACTTAATTTTTTATGATAGTTGAGAAATGGGAAACGACTATAGGGTTGACGGATATAACTAAATATAACTTGGCAGGAAATGACACAGAAGGGATTTAACTTCAAAACCATGAAATTGGTGTTTTTGACAACATTTGACAGCATTCATACATGGATGGCATAGATTTTTATACTGTGTTGAAACTTAAAACTTTTGCGTAAAAGTAATCCATTTAATTATAGAGTTATCCATCCCCAAATAAACAAAACCTTTTTTTATTAAATAGACAATAGAAATAAAGTTACAAAACGGCATTTTAGTTAGAAATTTCAAATAAAACATTAATACTTGTACCCTAAACATTGGTGCAAGAGTGTACTGTAACATGGAATTGGTGGTAATGTATTTATTTGATGCTTCCCATCGTCCCTTGGAGCTAGGAGTTATAAATGAAAAATTAAGCCCCGACTCGAAAAAAGGCACTACTTCACTTGGAGGTTTGTATATGTACCACCTATAATTTGTAAAATATTATATTAAAATAATAATAGAAAGCGTTCCTGAGAAAGTGTTTTGACAGACAGAGAGACAAACAGACGGACGAATAATAAAATGTTAATATAAGTGTTCCTTTTGAGATACGGAACCCTAAAAAAGAAGAAACGGTATATGAACCGATTGATAATTTATGCCACTCAATAATTACAAGGATTCTTACAATAGGTATGTATCTTATTTTAAATAAAATGGCGGGTTTATGTTACACGAACTACAAAAGAGTTTATAAGGTACCTACAGGTCAATTAATAACGTCTTTTTGCTGCCTATAGAGCTCTCGTTATATACTGTCGCTTTACAATAAGAGACTATAAATCACACATAATAAACAAAAAAAAACACTAAAACTGTGCCATATTAACTTATTAGGTAAAATATAATAAGAATTATTGTATATCAAAATCAATAAGTGTGATATGTGTTACCAATCAACAGGTGCATTATCGTTATCTCTGCAATGAACATTTATGTATCCCCAACCAGATATTTCTGAATAACAGTAGTTGAAAATATAAATAGCACAAAAATAAAATGAAATAGTGAAGCTGTGCATAAGTAATACACGAATAACCCAGGCAAAGTTTTTATTACGTTAATAAAATAGCATAACTCTAAAACGTAAACTTTTATGTGGGAGATTAAATAAATATTTTTATGTAAAAATTCTTATTGTATATTTAAAATTATAGTTGCAAAAGTTTAAGTGATATTGTAGACAATCTTAACATTAAAATTTTATTAAAATCAGTCTAGTTTTTTTTATCTACTTTTACAAAGAACAGATGCACCGAAGAAGAGATTTTATGAAATTTTGATTTGAAAGAAATGTACGTATTTTGGAGTCAAACAAATATTTTAGTGAAACTTTATCCTCTAAACTCTAAAGCGCAGGAACACTCTATTTTTATCAGCATAAAAAGTAAGCAAAATTTTAGTGTAACTAATAACCAGATTTAATTTTAGATAAAAAAATAACAATATTAGAACATCAAACGCCATGTAATAGTTTCTTCAAAATAACTCAATTTAATTAAAATAAAATGAGCTGAATTTATTATTATATCTATACTAATATTATAAAGAGGTAAAGTTTGTGATCTTGTGAGTTTGTGAGTTTGTGACGTTGTAGGGGGTAATCTCTGGATCTACTGAACCGATTTTCAAAATTCTTTTACCAATAGAAAGCCACGTTTTTTGTGAGTGTCATAGGCTATATATTAACACGAAAAATGAAAAGGCTTTTTCGTGGTAGTCGGATTTGCAAAGTAAGTCGGAGAAAAAACGGTCTAACGAAAACGTTTCTTACGAACGCTGCCTTAACGATGAGAGATATATGATTATGTTCTAGAGAAAAGTTGTAGAGCTTAATAATGCCTACAAAAAAAGTCAGCGACAGCATATGTCTAACTTTTATATTTAAGTCACAAAAATTAGATTTTTATATTAAAAAAATAATTTAAATCGGTAGGCATGTTTATTGGTCATATTATCAACACTTATGAATTCTTATCAAAATAAGTAAATTTATCGTCTAAAATGTTTAAAACAAAAGCCCTTTTACTGCATATAATTTGGACAAATGGTTAAAGAGATAATACAACATATTCGTAGGTATGGACGAACCCGAGCGAGCTGTTTGTCTGTTTTCATGTTTGTACGGGCTAATCTCCGAATCTATTGAACCGATTTAAATGAAATTTTGCATGGTGGTACCTTATATCCCCGGGCAACAACTTAGATACCTTTCATCCCAGAAAAATAAAGAGTTCCCGTGGAATAGTTAAAAAACTATAACAACTTATATAGCTTGGTACACAATAACTAATGATTGGATTTTAATGAAATTTTACAATAATATATTTCATACATGACAAAAACAAATCAGCTACTTTTCCTCCCGGAAAATTAAAGAACTTCCGTGGGATAGTCTAAAAACTATAGTAACTTATACAGCTTAGTACACAAAAACTACTGATTGGATTTTGATGAAACTTTACAATAATATAGGTCATACATCAGAATAACAAATAGGTTACTTTTATCCCGGAAAAATGTACTGTTCCCGTGGAATAGATGTTTTTGTTTATTTGTAACGTATTATGTACACAACATAGACACAACAACAATAGTTATTAAAAAAATTGTCTGTTTGTCTGTTTACCTGTATGTCTGTTTGTCTGTTTTTGCTTGAGCGTTTCACGCGAAAAGTAATGTACCGATTTGAACGAAATTTAGTGATGTGATAACTTATTACTCGAGTCAACATTTAGGATACCTTTTGTATGTATGTATTCATCCCCTTTTTACCGTCCCACTGCTGGGCACAGGCCTTCCTTCAGTGCGAGGGGGATAAGACCATAGTCCACCACGCTGGCAAAGTTGGCATCCTTGCAAAGGTCCGACAGTATTTCACGCCGGGACAGCTTCTTGTTTTATATAAAGCGCAAGTCCGGTCGTGTGTGGAATACTGTAGCCACATATGGGCTGGTGCTGCGAAATGCCATCTGTCAGCCTTGGACTCGATTGAGAGGCGTGCTCAAAGGCTTATAGGTGACCCTACGCTGGTAAAAGCTAACCTACAAAGCCTCGATCACCGACGTAGGGTTGCCAGCCTTTGTGTATTCTATAGGTTACATTTCGGAGAGTGTGCGCAGGAACTACATGAATTAATTCCCCCATCCCCTTTCCATCATCGGACAACCCGACGAACGGCTGGTCTCCATCCTTATGTCGTGGACATTCCACCCGTCCGCACGAAGCGTTTCGCTACGTCATTTATTATACGTACGGCTAAGGATTGGAACAACCTGCCTGCGTCGGTGTTTCCGTCCGATTATAATATGGGTGTCTTCAAGGCAAGAGTGAATAGGTGGCTACTGAATTAGTGCGACTCACCATCTACGACTGCGTTACCACTTACCATCAGGTGGAACGTAGTCAAGCACTAATTCTGAATAGTATAAAAAAAAAAAAAAAAAAAAATAGTACTCGGGTCAACATTTAGGATACCTTTGATCGTAAAAACGACAGACAAATTATTCATTCCCAGGGGAAAACACAATAACTGGTTCTATCGAATTGTCCTTAGTTTATATGGCTAACGTTGGCTCAACCTTATGAGATAGATCAAAACATTGTGCAAGAAAATTGAAAATCTTAAAAAGGTCTATAGAAAAGTTCTACGTAGTATATGTCTATCTCCTAAGGTACACTCGCTATAACTATTTTCATTATTATATATTACTGTTTTATTATACGTTATTCTATCTATACATATAATAAAACTTATTTAAAAAAAAAATTCTAACCTCTAGGTTAGAAAAAAAAATGCTAAAAACCGAGTCTTTCGGGATGTAAGAAGAGAAATAGAACAAATCCAGTTTTTTTCACTTTTTTTGTTTCTCTATCTGTTTGTCTGTTTGTACGGGCTAATCTCCGAAACTATTGAATCGATTTAAATGAATTTTTGCACGGTAGTACCTTATATCCCCGGTCAACATCTAAGATACTTTTCATTCCAGAAAATTAAAGAGTTTCCGTGGGATAGTTAAAAAACTATAATAATTTATACAGCTTAGTACACAACAACTTATGCACCTAATTTAGTAAAATTTGGCATATTGTCGGTCAAACAACAGGTTATTTTTCATCCCGGAAAAATGAACGGTTCCCGTGGGATAGATCTATTTGTGGTTTTCTAGAGGTGAACCCGCGCGAAGCGAGGGTGAGCCACTAGTAAGTTAATATAGATAAGACGATATAGAACATTTCGTTACGGTCCACTTTTCTGACGTATCCGTAAATTTCGGTGTGATTTTAAAGACGTTTCATATCAAAAATGTCAAGTATAAGGTTTTCACTAAATATAATAATAATAATAGACAAAATTATGCTTTCATGAATGTAAAAGATCATTAGTGAAAAAATGTCAAAAGTAGTTCCATAAAATTAAATTATCCAGAAATTTTAGCTGTGTAGTCTTTAGACTTTAGAAACTAAAATATGAAAAAATAGAATGTTTTATGATAAATCAAAAAATTAAAATACCTTCCTGAGTCCATATTTTTAATAAGGATGTAATAATGTAACAATGACCAATAATTGTACAAAAATGTTTAATATTTTATTTAAAACTAATATATTAATATAAGTAATACTTTGGTGTTATTTACTAAAAACAAGTTCATTAATAAAATGTTAAAGAAGGAAACTGTTTGGCTTACTATTTTGAAACATTTGACGCAAAAATATACTTCTCTATTCTACTAATAAAAAAAATCATAAATTAAGTGATTTATTTTATTCTCATTTTTAGTTATAATGTACGTGGGGTGGAAAAGTATAAAATTCAGTAGCTTTTTAAAAACATAATAAAAAAAGTGGAATAAGAAAAAAAATTTATAAAAAAACTTACAGAATGTCATATACTTAGAGCTTTTGTTCTACCTATATATTTATTTACATTTCACTTTCAACTATCACAGTTCCTTACAAATGTTATGTTACTTAATAGATACTAATTACACGACTGAACAGATTCTATGAGATGTGCGAAATTCCCCCACAGTATCGGCCCTGAAGTACATAATGTGCCACCGCCCCGAGATTCTTGTGGTAACTGAAATGAATATATTATTCAATTTAATTCTTTTATTTCGTGGCTTCTAGGAATGCCAGATGAATCTTTATATATATAATTCTTCTGTGAGTGTGTATGTCACTGAACTTCTCTCAAACGACTGGACCGATTTTGATGAAAGTTTTTGTGTGTGTTCAAGGGGATCTGGGAATGGTTTAGATTCACAATTTGAATAATAATTTTCATCAAAAAAATTATTAAAAAAAGTTTGAAATTTTCAAATTAAAGACGTGTAGACAGGACAACGTCTGTCGGGTCCGCTAGTATACTATAAAGTCAGACTAAAGAATTACATATATCAACGGAGTTCGCCAAAATAAATGTCAAAGTCATAATATATAGTAGCGTGATTTGCGGTTTATGCTACTATTATCGATTTTCCCATACAGATCGTTTAATATTTTTAAAGAATAAAGGAAATTTATATATGTATCCAATTTAAAAAAAAATGGTATGACTTCACGTTTAGCCCTATGACACTGTCCATATGATTCCTTAGTCTCAGATTATAAACAACTACTTTATAACAAAAAGGTACACAGATTTCTACATCATTTTAAATACAATTCTTCCATTCTCAAGGGTAGAACTTCTTTTGAAATATACACATATGGGGCTAACACTCAAATCCTTTCACAATTGGTGACGTCACATAGCATAACATAATATGATGTCGATAAAGATAAATATTAAAAATAAATTTCACCATCACTTTTTTGAAAATCAATTGTGCTAGATGAAGTTAATGCTATTCTTCACTTTCACTTTTTTTTACTTCATTATTTTAACACTTTTTTCTACAATTTGATCCATAATATATATCCTATATATAGGATAGGAAAGGAACTCTCAATAAAACGTCGTAGGATCGTCGTAGGATAGAAACTCTCAATAAAACGTCGTAGTTTTTTTTTATTTAGAGGGTACAAATGGTACACACTAATTAAAAGTGACAGACAAACAGACAAACATTTTTGTATGGTCAATTTCATTTCTAAGTGTAGATGAAGTGCATATGTATGTATTGTTGAATGTACATGTACAAGTAAATAGCTTACCGCTCGATTAATATCTCCTACACAGACCCAGTAGTCAGCTACTTTAGTGTCTTGACTATTATGCATTTTGTGAGCAACTGCTACCGTCCATTTTGAGTGGTCATTGTGAGATGTGAAGGACATTTTTGCTATGGGGAACTTTAGGCGTTCTATGTTGCGGACCCTGAAATATTGTAAATATTATTGCATTTTAGGGTTCCATATATGAAGGGTACAAATGGAGTCTTAATGCGGAATTACATATGGTCTTATACAATTTGTCTTACCTGTACCAAAAAAACGTACTTTTATCATCATCATCTCCCTGCCCATTTTCTAATGACTTGGGGTCGGCGCAATACATCCTCTGTACTGCTGATAGGATTTGGCAAAAGTTTTACGACCGGCTGCTTGCCTGACATCAAGCCTCCTTGGCAACGTACTTTACGTATACATAATATATTATTTATATCCCATATCCCAACATATTATTTACGTCGTTAAACGCGGATATTCTATGTAGATTATTTGAAACATTCCCTAACTTTTTTAACCAACTTAACAAAAATCGAGAAAAAATCTTATAAAAACAAAATGACTCAACCAATTTTGTTTTTTTTTTATTTATAATTTAAAAGTCTACAAATGCCATTTAAAATAATTAAAGGGAACCCAAACTAACACATATGAAATAGGTATGAAGAGATTTTAATAAACACTAAAACTTTTAACGATTTAAGATACTTACTGGAAATTTCTAGTACATTCCGAATCCAAAGGTCCCGGCCCATTGGTCCACGACTCCACTAATAAATCCGACTGCAATACTTCTGCCACCAAACCACTGTACAAGTCATCGTTAAACATTGCGCTCTTTGCAAACGACAGAAACTTTCTACCCACTAACGTTTCAAAACCTTCTATGTGATACCTGAAATTATATATAGTTTAAGGCCGCGGCTACGCTTGCATACTATCTAAATAGGTACATAAAAAGTAGCCTATACATTTTTAGCATTATAATTAAATTAGCAGAAAATTTTTAGACTTAGCTATATCCATTTTGATTTTAACTCAAATCTGTTAGGTACAGTGTAGAGCAGTAATAGACAGTCGCTCACACTCTATAAGTCCTAAACCTTCAGATTTAAAATATTGGCGAGATTAGAGAAGGGTGCACATAATTAATTAATTTGCCTGCGGCGAACAAAAGGAGAGTTATATATTTGACCTGTATGTATAAATGTATGTTCAAACATCGTCTCATCATATATATCATATAAGAAGAAAACTTACCAAGGCGCAGTATCAACAGTTTTATTTCGTATCACATCAACCAAATTTGGTAGTTCACTGTCAAACTCCGGTGGTATATTGTAATATACTATCAAGGGTTCATTGTATTTCAATTGAGTTCCGATCTGATTCAATGTAGATGTCTGAACGGACACACAGAGAAATGATTGACCATACTTCATACCAGTAGTTGGATAGCTATATGAGCTCATATTGAGACCATTCACTAAAAAATATTAATAATAAAAGTTAAAGTATTTAACCTTTTAACCCTAAAATCATTGTAATATTATCATATAATAATACATGTCTGAGAGAACTCTGCAAGTTTCCTAAGGACCTGATGCCCCTCGTAGTGAAAGGAGGCCCGTGCCCAGCAGTAAGACATTAAAAAGAGCTAGAATAGAATATAAATATATCTAATGTGTTTTATTGGTTTGTCCTTTCTCTATAGAGATAATAATAATCACTACTACTCAACACTAAAATATTATCAGACTTGGTTTATATCGTTTTATAATAAGGTTGACAAATAATTAATATCTATTTTATTTTGATACCATATCTGGAAGCGAGGAAATTTGATTTTTCAATTTTGATGTATGTACGATTGTTAAAATGCGAATAGCTATTGAAGTCTATTGCAAAACAAAAACTTGGTATGGTATGGTATGTTCGGGCTATTTTCCGCAACTCGACGACTATGCGCCTATTTTGCGAAAACTAAAACTTATATATACATTAATTTAATCGTTTATTTTTAAAATATCTCGTGTGTGTAGATTTATTTTGTTATAATTGTGGCGAGCTACGCCAAAATATAAAATTAAGTCAATTTCTAAGTAACTCTAACACTTATTAGGCTTATTTTAACCTTGATGTTAAAAAGAATAAATAGCACATAGATCAAATAAATAAGTAAAATATTTGAATTTACCTATTGATAAAGCAGAATTATTGACTTCAAGATTACAGCAATGGAATCTATGTGAACCAGATGTTAAGATAACTTTTTATCGAAAAATACAATATAGTTTCCGGGTTCCGTACTACATATACTAAAGAAAATGACGAATTTTCTTCGAAAATATAGGAGTGGTTAGCAATGAACATGGATAGCGCTTTCATCAAGATATTGTTGCAATCTAAACGCATTACCAAGGAATATGGAACCCTACTATGCTTGCAGATTACTGTTGGAACCTTGCCAAAGCCCTTTGAATTCGTATACAAGAGGAAAACGAGCTTCAACACAAAATAAAACATTGCATTTTCAATCAAAACGTTAATAGACTTTTGGCAAATGCTTAAAATTGTTAGAAAATCATGGTTTAATCTTTATCTGGAAGCTGAGGTGTGATAAAAAACCATTGATATATGATCAATACCAAAAAATAACAAATAGCATTATCTCAGATAAAATAAAAAGTAAAGAAAGTTGAGTTGTATATAATGTTTTTTATCCATAGATGGTGCTTTTTTTTAATGTCGGTAAATGCATTTAGGTATACCACCTGCATACATACAGGTGATTATGTGGGATTCACTGGCTAGAAAAGACAATACTAGCCCCTAAAACCCAACAAAACCTCCCCCATCTTAATGGTGCATCGCAGGATCGCTTACGCACTCAACTACATCCCGACGGCAGGTCTGCCGAAGCAGACCTTACAACCAAGGTGTTGCTCCCACTGTCCAATATTAGAGAAGTACCAGGAGCAACCCGCATGGTACATCACCCACCGCAGTGGGCCATCTCCCTGTGTTTCTCTTGGCTTCGCGCTCGGCTGGGTTGCCGGACGCTCATGAGCCCCCCACCATGACAAGGTGAACACACATCGGGGGGGGACAAAACTGTGTGCTACTTTAACATATAAATAAGGCAGGATAGTTTAATATAATAAAAAAAACTGATGACCTACTGTCAGGTACAGGTGGAAATCGTGGCACAGAATGTACGAGCCACAATGATGTAAATTTATCTCCTAAAATCACTCCCTTTGTATGTCCACTCTCCACTCTATTTTTCATAAACTTAGAATGCATTTTACACATTTCAGCCAAATCATAATCATCATAATATTTGTCACCTAATTTAAATTTCTTAAATTTTTTAACACCAGCCTGCTTCGTTTGGCCTGGAAACAAATTATGGTTTTTTTTTTTGTTTATTTAACAAAATAAATTATATTTTCTATAAAACAGAAGAATAAAAATTATCCATATTATCTATAAATAAAAAAGAAAATACGGAATTAATATTTCAAGTGTTAAGTCATATCTAAAAGACAACCAAATCCAAAGTGCATAATAATTACAAGACTTCCGTGACACCATTCAGACAAAGAGAGACAATAGCATTCCCAAGGAGGGTTGACGTCAGGCAGGCGGCCGGTCGTAAAACTTTTGCCAAATCCTTTCAGCAGTACAGAACATGTACTGCGCCAACCCCAAGTGATTGGGAAATGGGCAGGAAGAAGAAGAAGAAGTGTTAAGTTATATGTATTTGAAATATTATTTCAGAATTTCTGGAGGTACATAATTAAACAAATTGATATACCTTTTTTACGTTTTGAATACATTTCAGCAACAGAATGCAATATATCAGGTTGGTTTTCATTAGCCGGTGGCTGATCATTGTATACAAGAGATATTATGTTTTTGTCCTATAAATAACAGATATATTTTATTTTATTAGCATAATTTATTTATTTATTAAGTTCTTTTTTCAATAGTTTACAATTATTTAAACTGCCAATACCTCGTATAATGGTGCTAATGTTCTACCAACCATTGACCTAGGATCACTTATAGCCAAATCTGACATAATCCATCCGGCTCTCAGCTTAGAAGGTGTAAGATGCATATATGCAACTCCCCTTCTCACAAGAGGATTTAAATGATTTTTTTCTCTTGGTAATTTGTAAATGTAAAACCTAGAAATAATTTTAAGTTGATTATAACAATAAAAATATACATATTGGTACATAATATGACACATAGCCACAAGTTCTCCTTATCACTTTATGTGAATTTAATGACTCATTTCTGAGTTCAAGCATATAATAATAACTTAGTCAATTAAATTTAAAATATCTATCTTAAAAAGTTTAGATTTATCCATTTATGGTAATTATGGTCATTTTTATGTAAATATATTTATTTTGGATATTTATTATTTATTTACAGTTTATGGCTTAGCCCTTAGGTAAAACGTATAATATCATTTTATATTATTTAACTTTAACTTAACTTAAACTGTTAAAAGATTGCTATAAATAAATGTTAAAAAAATAACTTACCAGTCCACTGGCTCTCCTTTTTCATTTCTACATTGGGGTGTTAAACCAGTACAACAGGTTAAAAATACTGTATAAAATATTATTTTCGCACTGTTACACAGTCGGACGCGTGTTGAGTCCACCATTCTAACAGACAAAGTAATACGAGACGCAGGAAACTTGAATTCCTTTTGTTTATGATGTCATATTCTTCAATCAAAACATTTAGGGTATCAAACAATTAATTGTTTATACAACATTGCTAATTTGTTTCCTTTGACTATAAACATTAATTTACAATTGGGCTTACCAAAATAAATTAAAATGTTATGTATTTTCAACCGACTTCAAAAAGGAGGAGGTTCTCAATTCGCCTGTATGTTTTTTTTTTATGTTTGTTACCTCAGAACTCCGTCATTTATTAACCGATTTGGACAATTTTTGTTTTGTTGGAAAGGGTATACTTCCAGATTGGTCCCATTTAAATTTCAAAAAAAAATACTACCCCTAAGGGTGGAAAAACAACTAATGATGAATTTAACCTACTTCTAATTGTCATATTGACTTGAAACTTTGCAAGTATTTCTATTTCCGTTGATAGTACAGTGGTTCGGTGTTGTTGACCTGATCTGATGGCAAGGCCAGAAGGTGGATAGGTGGAACTCTTCAACGGCTAATATTAGATACTTTGAGTTTGGGCTTATTTTTTTGTTTGATTTGACAAGCCTAACACGTTAGAATCCTTACTTTGCTACTACTGTCTACACTAAAAAGGGAAAAATAAAAACTTTTTAACAAAAAAATAAAAACCGACTTCAAACAAAAGCACTAAAAAGTAAAAAATAACTGATTGGTAGTTTTCATTTACTATACATACCTAATCAAATATTTTCGAAGTCGGTGTGCTTTGGCTAAGTAATTAACGCCTACCTATTAAATACATACCTAATCAAATATTTTCGAAATCGGTGCCAGCCCATACAAAGCAAAGCACACCGACTTCGAAAATATTTGATTAGGTATGTATAGTAAATGAAAACTACCAATCAGTTATTTTTTACTTTTTAGTGCTTTTGTTTGAAGTCGGTTTTTATTTTTTTGTTAAAAAGTTTTTATTATACCAACAGTGAACACTTTCAGATTGTTGTTTTTTGTTTTTAAATCAACTGTCAAAACAAACTTTTGTAAATACGTTCCGGACAACGCAATTAAACTTATACAGATTGTTCGTATTCCATTTTTTTTTCTATATTTGTATCATGTTTTATCGTCATTGAACATAATTTAACAATGCATGATGATATGTACTATATTTTTTATTCTTTTATTTTCCTTTGTGCATGGCTTTTAAGAACTTTTGAAATAACGGAACCCTTTTTTTTATTGTTGAGCAATGCATTTATTCACACCATCTGTAGACATATAGAAGTATATGGGACTCACCGGATAGAAAAGCCAGTACTCACTAAAACTCAACAAAACCTCCTCAGTCTTAATGGGGCGCCGCAGGATCACTTGCTGGTCTGATTGCTGGACAAGATGAACGCACGTTTGGGGAATAACGAAACCCTAACACAGCTTATTTCCAATTTGTCTAATTTAAATATTTTATACGAGTATACATAGTTTTACAATAATAAATGGAATATTGATGATTACTAGACTGCTCCCTTTGGTAATAGCATTATAATATAATATAGCCTATACCCAGCCGTCCTCTATAAATGGGTTATTTATAGCAAAAATAATTTCTCAACTCGGATTAGTAAGTAGTTCCTGAGATTAGAGCGTTAAAATAATCAAGCAAACGCGGCCCCTGCCTTTTTATAATATTAGTATGGATTATCGAGGTTACCTTTGTAAGGTTGTATTTAGATGTAGGGGTAATCTCTGAAAGTGATAATTATCTGATTCTGATTACCATTAGCTACATTACCACCGAGTGCTGCCTTTAAACTATTTTTATTTAGATAAAAATGTTGTTACTGTCAGAAATTATAATAATGTAGATATAAATAATAATTGGACTTTCAACTTATCTCTGAAATAACTAAAATATAACCTCTTTTAGGATTTAAACTTGTGTTAGGAGGAAATTATTTACAATTAAAAAATAATTATAAAATAAACATTTATTTGTATAACAAGAAATAAACAACACTGTAAAATCTGATTTTCCAATCACAGTATTTGGAAGACATGAGAACACAAAAAGTTTATAATAAAAAAATAAATGCTATATAACATTTTTACTTACATCTACCAAATGAATATTTAATATTATATGGCAATATTGAACACATTCATATATTACTGTTGAGTTGGCATAGATACCGAGGCTTTTGTGTGTGATACATCACTCTGTCTCCAAAAAGATACAACAGTTTTTAATTCTGTGTAGAAATCTAAACCTTGTTTTCCACAGAAGTGGTTGGTTCCTAAGAAGCTTCCCCTTGTGCCGGTGAAAGAGAACATTGATAACGGTACTGGAATTGGTACATTGACTCCTACTTGCCCAACATCAATCTCGGAAGAGAATTTCCGTGCAGCTGCACCATTTGTTGTGAATATAGCTGTACCGTTACCATAGGGATTTGAATTAATCATTTGAATTGCCTCATCTAAAGTGTCAACAAACAGACAAACTAGTACAGGTCCAAAGATTTCTTCTTTATAGCACTCCATGTTGGGTTTTACATCAGTAAGGATCGTTGGTGCAATGAAATTTCCTTTTTCAAAACCTTGTACTTTTATACCTCTTCCATCGAGCACTAGCTTTGCGCCTTCCTTAACACCTATTAAAGAGAAATATATACGTATATTATGTATTATTTATTGCATTTTTCACAATTAATATAAACATAATTGACAGAGATGAACGAGGGCAAAATTAGACCTACAACATATCTTGAAAAAGACCAGCCAATCATAGAAAAGAAATGAGAATTAGTTATAATAAAAAATGTCGTTATACTAATATGTACTATCTAGTTTATTGGTATTTGGATGGTTATCTTGGATAGCTCCATAGTAAATTGGTATGCAAGTAGTTAGTCCCAAGCGGGGAAAAAGTTATAGTCATAAGTTAATTAAAAATATTAAAAAATTACACAATAGCATAAAACGAATTTTAGAGTAAATTAGTTAAGAAAACAAAGATCAAACTAATGTTATGTTAAAGAAACTGATATTTTAGACTGCTTTACCTGATTCAACCAGCCTATGAATCCTTTCTTTAGCTTTGATTGAGATAACTGGACCCACATCAGTTCCGGGTACATGGCCTGCATTAACTTTGAGGGTTTGTGCTCGCTTTATCAAGTCTGGTATCCACTCTTTTGCTTCACCTGTATAATTTTTTTTTTAAAACTAGTACGTCAAAATATTTTGATAGAAAGTATGAAGAAAAATATGAATGTAATTTTATCAGTTTATTTGAATAATAAAATAAAATATTCCAACATTTTGTGGTGAAAATCAATTTTTTTTTTAAAACCTTAGTTTCTGTTTTTAAAAACCTTAGTTTTAAAACCTTACTCTCTGTTCCATCTATGTAACCCGAATATTTTGTCTCTGCGGGGCCCCCGTGAGGCTGGGGCGGGCAGGTGCCCCGAGTGCCCATATGGTAAAGACAGTACTGTTACTATGGCAACCTAATGCAAACGTCACGGACATTACGGTTTTTCGTGACCTTGAAATTTTACTCTCATACACGCAAAGAAGTTTCTATTTAAAAAGCAACATAACGTACTGCTTACCCACAAACACCGCAGTACTGAGAGCCATGCAGCGCTGGCCGGCAGCCCCGAATGCAGCTCCGGCTAGCTGGTTGAGGGTGTGCTCCTTGTTAGCATCGGGTAGGATCACCCCGTGGTTTTTAGCACCCATATTGCTTTGAACTCTTTTACCTAATATATTTAAAGAGATAAAAATAAATCCCTTTTATTATATAACTAGCGACTCACCGTCGATTCGCTCAGGTTGTAGTATGGAATAGATTTTTTTTTATTTTTTCGTGCATTTTTCCGATTTTTTAATAGTTTTTCTGCTAATCGGGGTGAAGACAAGAAAATTAAAGATCATAAAAACCGGTCCAGACGTTCTCGAGTTATAAGTAATAATTAATTAATATGCTATAATATTATTTACCAATAAAATTTGTCTGACAGATATAATGACAAAATAACTCATAACCGGACTACTATGTAATATAAATGCAAAGGTCTGTATGTGTGTGTACGTTTGTTACCATTTCAAGCTGAAACAACTCCAGGAAATGAAAATGAAAAGTATATACATAGATTAATTATTAATGGAGTAAGAGAAAGACTACAAGCAACCTACAAGCACCCACACTCTTTTCATTCAGAAGTGAAATGCCAGCAAAGCCTTAGCTTGTAAGGCTCTTGTTAAATTTAGACTATAGAATTATTATTATAAACATATCAAATAAGTATAGATATTTTGAATCGAAATATTTTATTATCCATGCTAATATTATAAATGTGACAGTTTGTGAGGATGGACGTTTGTTACTCTTTCAAGCCAGAACGGCTTAACGGATCTGGACGAAATTAGGCACAGGGATTACATTATTGTTTGGAATAGAACATAGGTTACTTTTTAACCCGGAAAAATGTACGGTTCCCGTGGGATAATTTGTTTTTGTTGTAATAACAAGATATCGTACTACATACCTGCCGCAGAAGCTCTAGTATATATATGTTTTCCAGCCGCATCTCCACCTACAAACGAGACGGCCTTAATATCTGGATGGTCACAGAAGAAATTAACAGTGTCGTGAGTTCCGTGGACTACCTAAACAAAAAATATATTGACCATTTTTTAAACATTTTCTTTATTAAAATAAATAAAGTCTCGTACCAGTCTATTAATCTTTATATAATACGTAAATAAAATAGTAAATGAGGATTTTAAAAATAATCCAGATGCTTAATAAATATGAATTTATGCCTAAAAGAATTTCTTCCAAAAAAATCCTAGAAATAACATTTTCTCTCCTATAAATATAAGTATATGGAAACCGCCTCAATGCTTTAATGACTAGCATTTACGAGTATTAGCTTAGTTTAGTTATATTTTTCAAGAAATTCTTAGTAACGTACCTCGAAGAGCCCGTAAACTTCTATAACATTAAAAATCCAAAAGACATTTAGAGACGCTTTACCAGTCATAATAAAAGAAAATAATAATAATTAAGTAGTAATAGTATATACAGTAAGTATAATAGAGACATGTGACTAACATTAACAATTCCAGCGGGTGCGCCAGCCTCCTGGAGCAGCTCCATCATCATCAGAGTCGCCCCGGGGTCCTGTTCCGAAGGTTTGATCAGACATGTGTTCCCAGTTACTATGGCTGGTGGAAACATCCATAGTGGGATCATTACTGGAAAGTTGAATGCTGCTACACCTGGAAATAAACAGTAAGGAATTAGCTATTAATATGTAGTTATTACAAACTATATTTATTAGTTTTAAAGAAAACTATCTTTCGGATTTTTTCGCCTATTTAGTTTGGTTTTTAGACGTCACGAGACTAACCAGAAATCAAAATAAATTTGCGAAAAAAACCAAAAAGATAGGTAAATTGATCATTATTTGATATTAATTATTAAACCTAAAAATATATAGGTAATTGTCACTATATTTGTTACCAGTTTAGATTATTTGACTCTCATTTGCAGTGAATGTCTATTATGATAGATATGTACAAATACGGCGAATCGAATTGTACATGGAAAGGTTTTTAAAAACGTATTATATAAAAAATATAAATTCTTTTTTATAAAATACACTTACCTCCAACAACTCCAAGGGGTACTTTGTAGCTGTGCGTGTCCATATCTTTGGCGATGTTTTGAATGCAATCGCCAAGTTGCAAACTTGTGATACTACAGCAATGTTCTACCAGTTCTATAAATTATTAACATATAAATTATATATATACTTAATATTATAAAGAGGTAAAGTTTGTGAGTTTGCGAGTTTGTGAATTGTGAGTTCATGACGTTGTAGGGGGTAATCTCTGGATATACTGAACTGATTTAGATGAAATTAAGAAGATAGTTAGAGACCCTGGGAAGGACATAGGATACTTTTTATCCCCGAAATCATCCCTTAAGGGGGTGAAAATGGGGATGAAAGTTTGTATAATAAAATAAAATATTCCGACATTTTGTGGTCAAAATCAAGTTTTTTTTTAAAAAACCTTAGGAAGACTCTCTGTTCCATCTATGTAACCCGAATATTTTGTCTCTGCGGGGCCCCCGTGAGGCTGGGGCGGGCCGGTGCCCCGTGTGCCCATACGGTAAAGACTGTACTGTTACTATGGCAACCTAAGGACGAACCTGAGCGAGTTTTTTATTACCGTGAAAGTTGACCAGAAAATGACTATATTCATCAATTCTAGAATGTTTTCAAAGATGATCACGCGAAAAATATTTTTTTTTTATTTGTACCAAAAATTTAAATTAATTATTTATTTTTTCAGCAGTCTTTTTGGATATAAGCCAGGCTTTTGACAAAGTGTGGCACGAGGGCCTATTGTATAAAGTCAAAAAGATGCTACCACACTCGTTTTACCACATAATAAAGTCTTATCTCAGCAAGCGATGTTTTGAAGTAAAGTTCCACGATAAACTTTCCGACCTATATGAGATCAAGTCAGGAGTGCCACAGGGAAGTATACTAGGACCAGTGCTCTACACCATATATACTGCTGACATTCCAACCGTAGAAAAGACTACGGTTGCAACATATGCCGACGATACAGCCATACTTTCTACACACACGAACCCAGTAACCGCATCAGAACATCTACAACACCACATTGATAAAATTGAAGAATGGCTTAAAATATGGCGAATACACGCTAATCAAAGTAAATCAACACATGTGACCTTTACTCTCAGGAGAGACACGTGTCCACCGGTTATACTTAATAACGAAGAAATCCCGCAAGACGACAATGCTAAATACTTGGGCATGCACTTAGATCGTAGGCTGACATGGAAAAAACACATATGGACAAAACGGAAACAACTAGATTTAAAACTACGTAGTATATACTGGTTAATAGGACGAAACTCACAAATGAGCACAAACAGCAAGTTGGCAGTATATAAAGCCATCTTGAAACCAATATGGACCTATGGCATACAGCTTTGGGGTACGGCCAGCAACAGTAACATAGAGATACTGGAACGATTTCAAACCAAAACACTGAGGACCATATTTAACATCCCTCAATACATCAGTAATAAGTACATATATCTTGACTTAAATGTACCAACTGTCAAACAGGAGATAGTGAAATATAGCATCAACTACCAGAAAAGACTCTCAAATCACAAAGATGAGCTTGCCCTCAGACTCAGCGGAGATCAAGGACTTGAACATAGAAGATTAAAGAGACATAGTGTTCCAACCCTACAAGATAGATTCAACAGTATGGAATGAGACACCTACTTGAAAAGTGTTTCACCAAGCTATAAAGCCAAAACAGATACAAGTATCATACAAAGCAGTGGCTTATTGTTGTGTCTAACAGATTGCCGCGGTGCAGAAAAGTTAAAAAAAAAAAAAAAAAATTTTAAAAATCAGTAGGCCACCTCAAAACTTTGAGTGATCTTTTTACTTGATAATTTTGTTTTTATAATCTACAAATTCTTCCTCCAAGCTAAGAAAAAAAAACAGGGTTTTTTTCGCTCCACCCTAATATGTATTCTCATGTTGTTATAATTGAAAAGTCAGATTTTCATTAAATATCTCAGAAAATTAGTTTGATCAAATTATTATAATTAAGTTTTTTAAACATGTCAAAAATTAAACATCAAATGATACATGATAAATGATAAGACATCTTCATAACTACACTATCAATTTACTTAATGACATATTGACATTTTGATAAAGCTGTTGTTTAGTAATATTAATGTTTGAATATACACGTCATGTATTAAAAAACAAAGAACAGCGTTATATGATTTAAGTCATACTATTAATAGTCTGCTGCTTCGCTCGCGTTAAATCGACAAAAAAACAAATTCTTTGGCTTTATGTCATAAGTATTTAATACAGAAACACCCCCGCTCCGCTGCACGCCCTACGCCAACTTGCGCACCTTGCGCCCGTCTACCATCCCTAATTAAAAACTCCAATTGGATCCCATCAAAAGCGACAAAAGCCACATAGAAACCAATAAATATGTATTGGTTTCTATGTGGCTTTTGTCGCTTTTATTGGGATCCAATTGGAGTTTTTCAACAGGGATGCTGTGCAGGTTTTTCGAAGTCCTATTTGACTCTGTTGGGGGATGTTTTGGAACAAGTGTGATACACGTGCCTCATAATTTTAATTGAAGAGTATATGTACCAATTTTCTAGTCAATTGACCCAGAAATAAAATGTTCCCAGAAAATTCAATCCCCCATTTCATCCCTCTTAGGGGTGGAATTTAAAAAAAAAACCCTTCTTAGTGGATACTTCACAAAGAACATACACTTCAAACTTCTCGTCTCTAGAACTAGCGGTTTAGGTTATATATTAGTCAGTCAGGACTTTAAACTTTACATACATAGATTAAAAAACAACATTTTTCTAAAATAAAACGGAAACTTTAAAAATTATAATAAAATTTCAATATAAATTGTAATCAGAATAGAACTCATGTAACTTATTTAGTTAAATAAAACTATGTTTTCGGATTTTTTGCGGGTTTATTTTGATTTTAGGTTTCCAACGTTTTGAATGCTTAAAGCAACCATGATTGCGGAAGAGACAGTATCTCAGGGGAACAAATCCGAAAAAATAGATTTATTTTAAATCAGTAATCATAAATGTCAACAAATCGGGCAGACTACCATACATTATTGTAAAGGAAAGGGAAAGAAGAATTTGTGTTATTTTATAAATATAAATTGACTTACGAATCCCTCTTAGCACATCTCCTTCTGCATCGGCTATTGTTTTTCCTTGCTCTTCTGTTATTTTTGCTGCTAACCTGCTGTGGTTTTCTCTCAGTAAACGCGCAAATCTAAAAATTTCTTTCCATATAACATTATTTGTGTAAAAAATGTATTTTAGCAATTCAAATTTATTTATTTTATTGAAATATGTATATACGAACAATGAGTATATAATAGTAGTAGTAGTAGTATTCAGCCCTTTTTAACATCCCACTGCTGGGCACGAGCCTGCCTTCAATACGAGGGGGATCATACCATAGTCCACCACGCTGGCCAAGTGCGGGTTGGCGGACTTCACATATCTTTCGAAAACTTGCTAGTTTCTCTCAGACATGCAGGTTTCCTCACGATATTTTCCTTCACAGTAAGGCAAGTGGAAAATCATGTTAGAAATGATTCGCACATGAAAATGTCAGAGGTGTGAGCCCAGGGATTTGAACCCGCTTCACTCGGCTTCCCAAGCGAGCGCGTTACCACTGGGCTACCACTAAATAATATTATTAAATGTGAAAGATTGTGAAAACATGAAGTTCGTTACCCTTTCACACAATTACTCAACAGATTTTGTTGAAACTTTACAGTAATATAGCTTATACAATAGAGTATTGCATAGGCCAAATTACACATTTATGGAGATATAATAATATATTATATACATGACAGAAGCCATTGGAAATCCCTGGTAATTTATAATGCACTCATAGGGAAAACTGTGTAGACTGTATAGTGTATAGACTAGTAAATGATAATATAATAAAGTATAATTACTTGAACATAAGTTGCTGGCGAGTCATAATAGTGCTTTGGCTCCATGATTTGTATGCTTTTTTAGCAGCTTCAAGGGCTGTATTTAGTTCTGCTGGTGTGGTTTCTGGTACTCTGAAGTCACAAAATGTTTGTTAAATGAAACTAAAAAAATACATAATTAAATACATTTTCTATTATGAAATCTATAGATAGAATAATCTATAGAATCTGTTTTCTAAAATAAATAAAGAAATAGTAACCCAAAGCAAACTAAATGAAAACCTAAATACTTTGCCCTATAATCATTAAAATAACAATGCATTACAATGACATAAAAAAAGTTTCACTATATATGCAGACATATTTAAATAATCAATTTAAATTATTTGACCTTTTATTACTTGAAAATCTGACTTACATATTAATGCCTTTCTATTGTTAATATTCTCAACCATGTCATTTACATTGTTATAAAAACTTTTATACCATTGCTAGACGAAGTTCCAACTACAAAATATGACTTATAAGGGCAATTCTTATGTACCAAACTTAATTACATAGTAATAAAAGTTTGGCTTCATAAAATAAATATAATCTAATATTACAGATAAAAAATAATTGCTTTCAAGTTTCAATATCAACATGTTTTATAAGATAATGAATAAATAAAAGATTAAATAAACTTCTTCATATCTGATATTACTTGTTGTTAATGAGATAAGGTCCTATATAATATAAGAAAGGAGAAGTTAATATTTTCTATCAAAAAAAAACTAATTTAAATGTTATAATTTTAAAATAGCAAAGTGGTTAAAGAATAACAATTTTCAATTTTTTCAGGTGAATTATAATTTATTTGTTTCATATGTAACAGACAATTACTAAAAAAAATCTAAGGAAAACATAAAATTAATTTTACATTATATGATTACATAATTGAAGAACACTAACCTTCCAATAACTTCATTTGTAGCTGGATTAGTTAGTTCAATCCATTTTTGTGTTTTTGAATCAGTAAACTGCCCATCAATAAAGAGTTTTGTTGCCGGGGCCGAGCTGCTATAATTCTTACGTAGAATTAAATGAGACTGAAAAAATATCAAACTTACATTATTATAATTTAATTTTATACTTTTTTGATTTGCTAGACACTACATAAATGTTCAGGCCAAGAAATTCATCTTAAAATTTTACTTAAATTATTTTTCACAACTGTCCTAATACATATATGCAACCTCCTTAAGAACATTGTGCAAAATCTTTATGTGAATTATTGATCAGGACATGATGAAACTTTGGTAAGAAATATTCAACTGCGCAACAAAACTCTGGTGTTAGTTATGAATAATGCAGTCAGTTTAAATACCAAATTGCCTGAATGATGTATATGTTTGTCTTACATTCTTGCTAGCACACAGTTCAAAGAAAAACAACACACATTTTTAGAATTGATGTTATAAATCAAGTGATTCAATGAATATCATACATAAGTTATTATTGGAAATATACTTATATGTTACTATTACATTGTTGAGAATATAACACAATCTATCTATATGAGGTGAATAATAAACAAATACTTCTTATTAATAATTAAATCAATACCTAGTTTACATAAAGACATCACTTTAAAACGTGTACGTGCATAAATATCACTTACTTCTGATTTGAGAAGTTTTAGCATAGCTGCCGCCATCCTCATGTTTTACTATAAAATGCACACTATCAGCTACAGAGACCGGAGTGATCGGTGGGTGGGATAGGCTAACTGTAAACTAATTAAAATATAAATGTTATAATCTGACCTTGAATTGATAAAATTAAATTATTCAAATCCGGTCGTTGTCATGTGTAACAAAAGTCAAAACCATGGATGACAAATAAAACTACAACATGAACATGAATTTGTTTATCTCTCTTCTCTAATGTGAAATGTCAATTGTCAAATGGCATACCAACTCTTATGAGTTTCATTTTCTACGAGTGCAACTATTTATACAAAGGTTTTTATACATTAAAAAAAATTGAAGCATATAAACTGGATAGAAATTTGATGTATCTCAGTAATAATTTATATTACTTATAAAAATATCAGCATTAAAAATATATCTATCTAAATATAACTAGTTTGAAGGTTTTTAATATCAAAAACTAAAAAGGACATTTCGTAGAACGAACCCATGTCTGTTTTCTTTATAGATGGTTTTCTTCAGCTGGTTGTCAATTGTCATCGTAGAATTCGTAGATCTGTTGTCACTGTCTTCTGTCTACATTTATGACATAGAATAATGTTGCCCCATAAAATTATCAATAAAATGCTTATATGTATTAGATAAAAAAGAATGTATTAGTAAATATTATTTATAATTATACATCAGAATCATTAAATCATTAGAATAATTAGAATCATTAAATCAATATAAAATATTTATTAAAAAATATGGATTGATATTTAAGTTTATTGTTTACACATTATTTAGTCAATTTAGTATATCAGTTCATCAATAGATGTCTCTACTGTACAAGCTATAAAACAAAGTAATAAGTACCTTCATACTTCATAGCATGCTAAAAACCAATACCTCTTTTATACATATTTATGTATGTATTTCTATTTAATTAAAAATATTGCAAATACAGATTTAAAATATACTATTCAAGTTCATTAAAGATGCTTCTGCTATTATTACATGTACCTACAAAACTACTTTATTTTAAATAAAATTTTAGTTATAATAAAATTATACAGTCGTAGTTTTATGAAGCATTATGAATCAATTTTAAATTTTAATGAGACGGTTACTATTCTATATTTTTCATCCAAATGACGGTCTGATATTTTAGCATTCAAAAGTTACATCCGGCAAGCCGTAGGGTTAACAGGGTTAGCCCACAAAGAGCTGCTTGTACTTGAATAGCATTTTGTTGATAAACTAACACTTGATCAAATAAAGTTTAGCGATGAAATATGGGCTTATTTAAAAAGTTATTTGAGTTTTTTTTCTTATAGTTATATGTTATAGCTAGACTAATCAGATAATAATTTACTTGATAGATTTTTGTTATGTCTAAAATAATATTTTAACCGATTAGTTATTACATATATAAATATTAAATGTTATGAATTGAAGTCATGATTAATACTCATATTAAAGCTTATAGTTTATAGTTATAGCATAAAGTTGTACGATCAAAGGCATGATTAATTATCACTCCAGGTGAATTCGTGTAAAGTTGTAAAGGTGAGGGTAGATATTAACGTCAGCCTAGTCTTGAGAACATCTATCAGCCTTCGGCCTTCGGGGCTGCCAGTCAAACGTATCGTCTGTGTAACAGTCAACAGACTACTTCGAATATTATACCTACTCTTATATGTATAGTAGGTATGTTATAATTACTTACAAGTTAAGCAATAAGTATGTAATACTTATGTATATGTAATTAGTATTGCATCATTAAGTGTAATAACGAGAAATTGTAAAATTTCTAAATTACTTAATAAAGTTAAAAAAAAAAATTCCATTGTCTTTTTACACGATCTACATTTTATAAAGTGAGTGGACCATGGAAGGCCACTCTAACAAATAAACAGATATAGATAATTCTTTTATTTATTGGACAAATGAAACAAACAAATTAATAAGTAACACTTTCTTCTATTATGTAACTTATAAAACATTTTATTTTATTGCAGAGTTAATGATTATTTATTAAATTTAAGTTTTATTGAACTCTTCCAAAATAGCCTTGCAAGAAACAGGGCTCTATACAAGGCCGCTGGTCGATATAATAAATCAGTCGTTTAAATTAAAACTAACGTTGAGACAATTAAAATATCTGGTTATCGTTAATCTTCATAAAAAGGTCTTTCATTAAAATGAAACATTAAATACATACCTACTATAATATATTCACATAAAAAATATTCAACGACATGACTTGAACACTATCTTAAAACTAAGAATGAACTTATTTGTGAGATTGTTTTAAAGATAATAAGCATTATATCGATATCAAATAAATTGCCAATAATCTTTATAACTATTATATTTATTTTTTAACGTCGACGAAGAAGTCAACAAAGCGAGGAACCGCATTGACAAACTAGCAGCGCCAGCGACTCGCCGCTGCGTCTCAGTACTTAAGTTCGATGGGTGCTAATCGGAGCAAAAGGAATTTTTAATCGCATGGCAATAACTACGACCTTTTATAATCGGCCTTACAAGGAGCATGGCCTTCCATGGTCCAGCCACCTTACATTGAAAAATAATAACTTAGTGTTTTAATCTTCGCTCGTAAAAAAATTTAATAATATCGTATAAAAATTTGTTCATGCAACCTTGGCCCATATGAATAGGTATATGTATTATTATAAAAAAGTCAAAAGAGCAGGGATTTTGGTACATTTCGCGGAGATTTTGATAAATGTTGGTGTCACCTTGTAGTGATAAATTGAAAACCTGACGAACTATAAGTATAGAAATAAGAAAAACTCGAAATTTTACAGATAGAATATTATATAACTTACTATATTAATATCTATTATGTGCTATGTACATATAATATGAACATATCATTTTTTTTATCATTGTTATTTGAAATACTATCTTAGTATTTTTCTGTAGGTATTATGTGAATTTGTTTAATTACTTAATCTCATGGTTATTTATAATCTACACTGTTATTGTAATCTTAGTCTTAATTTGACTTGATGATAGTGTCATTCCTCTAATCATATCAATTAAAAGATTTATTATTATATACACTATATAATATAAAAAAAGAAATAATTTATGAAATGACATAGTAAATATGAATGTTATTCATTTGCTTCTCTTGAAAAATACTACTCTAATAATTCGATACTTTTTATAGATATTCCTTTATAAAAATACAAAAAACAACTGACGCAATATTGCACAGGTCTCTTTATCTATAATCTATACTTTTAATAATTTCTAAGAAATTAATTAAATTTCTAAGAAATCTATTGTTACCTGTAACGCCGGCGTGTCCGCGGTCGTGGAGGGAATAATATTATAAATGTGAAAGTGTGTTTGTTTGTTTGTCATTCTTTCACGTCGAAACGGAATGACGGATTGGCGTGATTTTTTGTGTGGACATAGTTGGAGGGCTGAGGAGTGACATAGGCTACTTTTTACCGCGGGATATTATCTAATTCCCACGGGAAAACATGTTATAATAAAATCCAAAAAAAAAAAAAAATTATAGTCAGACTTACTTTAAACTTGGTATTAGTGCTCTTCAATTTAAATAAATACGTGTTTTAGCATTTTTCGAAATTAATCTTATAAGGGGGTTAATTAAATAGGGGATGAAAATTTGTATGAAACTACCTATTTAGAGATTTTTTTGCAGTTTAGCGCGAGCAAAGGCGCGGGTTCTGCTAATCTGAACTAATATATTATAAAGAGGTAAAGTTTGTGAGTTTGTGAATTTGTGACGTTGTAGGGGTTTGCGATCTACTGAACCGATTTAGATGAAATTTTGTAAGAAGACAGTTTGAGACCCTGGTAAGGACATAAGATACTTTTTATCCCGGAAATCATCCCTTAAGGGGGTGAAAATAAGGATGAAAAACCCGAGCGAAGCGAGGGTGAGTCGCTAGTAAAATTATATAATACAAAACGAAATACGTAATGCGTAATCGTATGATTATATCGTCACGTAGCAATATAAGAATCGCGTAGACTAATTAAAATAAGCTAGCAGTAGATGCGATGATAGACGAATGCAAGTACTATATATATGGGTGATGATAAGCAGGTCATTGCCCGAGCTATCGGTCATGCACGGCACGGCCGCTCGAATGACGAACAAACTACAAACTTGCACTATGTATGGTGAATTTCAATTTTAGCAAAGTCAATATTCCCTTTGGAATGAGTACCGCGTTATGGCTGTGGTTAATTTTATGTTGGATCATCATTATGTTTTCAACTTTAGTACAGTATTTCTATATAGAAAAAAATATAATTAATAATTATTTTTGTCTTTAAATTATTTTATTATATATGTTAAAATTTTTGAGTTTCCATTTATTCGCTATTAGATACTTAATGTCATCTATTGCGAAGCTTAAAGCAAAAGTTCGCACTGTACGGGAATCGAACTCGCAATTTCCGGCATAGTGGGCTCTTCCACACATCCGATTGCACCACGTTCGTCGTCAAGAAAACTAATATGGTTAATTTGAACATTTTCATTTATTTTCCCAACGTTAAAGTGATTCTTATTTGTTTTAAAATATTAAAAAATAAATGTTCAACATTCTTATATTATCTGTTATATAAAAGACTTATCTTCGTCGTCTCTCTTTTATTATAATAGACTAATAGATAATAATTACTATGGAACGTAATATGCTTAGCAATATTATATAATATTACCGATGTACCAAAACTATATATATATAAAGATACGTAGTTAATATACAATGTATGTACTTGTAAGTATAAAATGAATGTACCTACTCACGAAGTTTTATTTTATGTAATGCGAGGAGATAGATGTAACATTTATTCTCTTTATTCTAGTACTAATGAAACCTTTTTCAGAAATAATGATGTCAAAACTACTGCTATAAATAATATGGTGTGTTATTACTGGTTTAGAAACAATTATGCAAGTAACTTTCATTTTGTCATTGTGTTTAATATCAGTGAGCGTATCAAGCAATTT